ATGTTCATTGCAGTACTATTCACAATAACAAAGACATGGCATCAGGCCGGGTACTCATAAGTGGTGGATTGGATAAAGAAAACATGGTACATATATACCATGGAATACTATGCATCCATAAAAAAAATATATATATATCCTTTGCAGCAACATAGATGCAGCTGGAGACAATTATTCTAAGGAAATTAATGCAGAAACAGAAAACCAAATACTGTGTGTTCTCACTTATAAATGGTAGCTAAATATTGGGTATTTGTGGACATAAAGAAGACCTCAGTAGAAAGTGGGGACTACTGGAGTAGGCAAGGATGGGGGGTGACAAGGGATGAAAAACTACTGGGTACTGTGCTCAGTGCCTGGGTGATGAGATCATTCATGCCCCAAACCTTAGCATCATGCAATATACCCAGGTGGCAAAACTGCACATGTACTCCCTAAATCCAAAATAAAAATTGAAAACAAACAAACAAATAAGTCAACCCCTTGGAGGAAAGCTTTAGAGTTTTCTCTTCTTATAAACAGACTCTCTCTTTAAGCAAAATCTTTGAGCCACTCTTCCAGGTAAGGGGCAGAAATGATAGCCTCTGGTCTTCTTAGTTTACCTTTCTGAGCATGGAACCTCTACCCTATATGTGAGCAGTCGAGGGCAGTAAGGTCCCAATATTTTTGGCCTGACCCAGCTGGGATAAACTTTCTACTCTATGAATGGAGTCTGGAAAAAAGAAGGGAGCCCCTGACCTCTCAGCCACACTCACCAGGAATTGAACCTCTAAAACTTAGATTTAGAGGAAATTGGAAATGCTGGCCTGCTCCTTTTGATGAGATCCCATGTTGCTTGGTTGAGATTTGAGGAGGGGGGAGCCCCCTTCCTCTTGGACACACCCAACCAAAGTGGAGCTTCTGTGGAGATGAGTTGCAGGAGAAGGAGGGGCCAGAGGACAGCCATGGCTCAAGTGCTACAGAATCTCAGAATCTCTGTTCTTACGAAGTTTTAATGTCTGTTTTAGGAAGGAATAATTTTTCATTATATGCTCTTAGGACATGTTGCAAAGAGTTTGATGGTTGGTTTTTGTTGGTATTGTTTTTGGTTTTTGATTGTATGTGGGTTTTTTTTATTGTTTGTTTATAATTTTCAACAATTAAGTTTTTTGGCTGGGGCTTGGACCTGTGGAGCTCCTTACACTGCCATTATGGGAGTAAAATCCATAGAATTATTTTTTGAAAAGACTGTACCAAAGACCTGAACCAGGATTCTTTTAGAGGTTTGACTCATGAGAAAATGCTTCAGCAAAACCACAAACAAACAACATGACTCAGGGTCTCTTTCTTCCTTCTTTCTTCTCTTTTATACCTCCCTCTACCCTATCCTCTCCTAGCTCACTTCCTCCATATTATAACATTTTGTCAACATATAAAAATTATTGAATAAAAATTGAAGGATTGAACAACTAAAAGAATAAAACTCAGGCAGTCTATATAAATTTTGTAAAGCAGTTCATAACCAGTATTTTCACTGAGTTGTGTTCTTATATAGCAGTCTGAACCTTGAAATAATTTCCACCATATATATATACTCTCTTTTCTAATATATAATTTTTATTTTTATTGATCTATGGGGTACAAGTACAGATTTGTTACATGGATATATACATAGTGGTGAGGTCTAGGCTTTTGGTGTACCCACCACCCAAATAGTGTACACTGGACCCACTATGTAATCTCTTGTCCCTCACCCTTCTCCCACCCTCCCCCTTCCGGAGTCTACAATGCCTATTAGTCCAATCTCTATGTCTGTGCACACACACACACTCTTCCTCTCCTCTCCCTCTTTCCTTCTCTCTCTATTAAGAAATGAGAATCTCAAGAAAGCCATTCCAATATCATTTATTCATTTAATTATTCATGTATTTATTTACAAAGTTGATTTAATAAGTAGGATGTGTATGGTGCTCTGCCAGGCATTTGTCCCTGGTTTGCATTTTAAGAGATGATGAAACAGATTTGAAGAGCTGGCCAATCAGCATATGCCTTGCCAAGCCAAAAAGTTATTGTCATGTTTGTTCAATTTCCATGTAGCATATTCAACTAATTATAATTTAAAATGGCCAGGAGGAGCACTGTGGCTGTGATCTTAGGAGAAGCAATAATTGAGATTTTCCTATTCTTCCACCTTGTAACAGCTTTAAAGCTGGCCAGGGACAAAAACTATGTTGTTTCCAGCTTCTCCTACAGGTAATATTGAACAACTGAAATCTATTAAAATTGATTCGTAAACTACTGCACACTCTTTGTTCTTCCTTAAAAATCCAGGACCAATCAGCAACAAAATATAATCAAGTACAATACAGTCTGCCCAGGGCTGCTTATTCAAAAAGAGGATGAGGAGATGGGCGAAAAGCCAGACCTGAAAATTCTGTTTAAAACACAAGTTATTTTCTTTTAAATAAATAATTTAGAGACTTGGGATAGAGTTAAAACATTTTTTTAATTTGAAAATAGAAGAATTTTTTGTACTTTGGATTGTGAAATTACATTATTTTGTTTAGCCAGCTATGTACTGAATCTTCACTATGTGCAATATTAGCAAAGCATATTTCCTGCTTTCAAGAAATAAGTCAGACACAAATTACTAAAATGGAAGACAGAAAATCTGTTACAATAGAGGGTCTAAAATGCCATTTAAGACAGAGAAGAAAGAGATTTTCCTGTTAGAGAAGATTAGAAGAGATTTCATAAAGGAAATAGCATCTGATTCAAAGCCAACAAATTGACAGAAATGTGGGGACATAATAAAACCAACCAAAGCACATTACGGGCTGCCTGTAGATACCAGTAAGTAATCCTGCCTGGCTAGAGCAGTGGAAAAGGGGAAATCAAGTTAGATGATCTGCAGTCAATCATGAACACCCCAAAATGTCATCAGAGGAGTTGGGAGTTGATTTTGAAGATAACAGAAAACCACAGAAGGGTTTTGAAACAGAGAGTAGTAATCAAAACTGTGTCTTAAAGGCATTATTCTGACACCATGCATAAAATTGATTTTTTAAATATTAGAGGTAGAAACACCAATACAGAAGTCATTCTTCCACTAGACTAGGTGGACCAGAACTACGAGAACAAAATCAATGTAGGCAGAAGTTCCGTAAATATAAAACAGGAAATAGAATAATGGGAATGGATCACACTGGGAAGAGGGATGATAGAACTTGGGGACTGATGTCAGCAGTGAAAGAGGAGCAGAAGATGTTTTGAGGTTTAATGTCTGTGTGCCAGGAAAGTTGACAATGCCCTTAAAAAGAGAAAGGAAGCAGAGAAAGATGAAATTTGAGAAAAAAAGAAAAGTGATGTTTCATTTATTCAATAAATTCGTATTAGGCACTTACTATGTGCCAGGTGGCTGCTCTGGGGGGATGAGAGAGTTATCTTTAAATTTTAAAGCTCTTTATGGAAGAGGCACTGTTCCAATCTGTGCTTCTCCAAAGGCAGAGCTGGAGCAGTGAGTAGAAGCAAGGTAGGAAGTGAAATATCTTTCTAATACATTGAGGCTTCGTGAAAAGTAGTAAGAGCTCTGTTACAGGCAATATTCAAGTAGAAGTTGGAAGATATTCTTCTAGGAACATTGTAGCCAGGGATGCCTACGTTAGGAAAGAGGTTAGACTAACTTTTCTGCAAGCTGTAGAGTCTATTTTTCTGATGATCTAGTCCTGTGGGTTCTATTCTTAATCCCTGTTATCTCTCAATTATTAAATAAATTACTCAGTCTATCTGCCATTCAGTAAAACTCACACATTTATATCTGTTATTCTTGAATTATTTTGGGTTAGGACTCATCTTCTTTATTAAAAAAAAAAATTCTACACAGTTAATGTTACCTTTATAGCTAATTTAGAATGGTAACCCCGGTAGATTGGGTTATAAATATCAGAGGGAAAAAATGATTTCTTGTGCCTAATAATACTTTTGTTTGGAAGAAGCCATACAAACAAGAAATAAATTATCTTGATTTCAAGATTGCGATGCAGTTTGTTGCAGTATTTCAAAAAAGAAAAATATATATATATATCTCAGAGAGGCTCATTTTGTGATAGCATGGTAAAAGAAACGGAATACTTACTCTCCAAACACTGCAAAGCTTTAGATCAGAAGCATTTATCTCTGCTGCATTTAAAAAAAGAAAAAGAAGAAAAGACAGGAAAGAAAGGAAAGGGAGAAAGGGAACCTGTCGTGAGCTCTGTTATAAGCTATAGTTCAAGCTTCGCATTTCCTGGTTCTTTTGAAACGTAAAATTCCACAACAAATAGCTCTGTAACGTATAACCAGTATGAAGATTCAATTCAGATTTAAGTACTTTGGTTTGCTTTTGAATCTTGCTATTTTCTGCATTTGTTTTGACTGCTCTCATCATTCAAGATTGACGCTTGGATGGGTGTGTAGGAGGAAGCAGCAGCAGCAGGCTTACAGCTTGCAGACAAAAAAAATCTGCCTTATCTGATGGCTATTATTGAAAATGCGAGGTGTAGCCTGGGCTGGGTAATGAAGGGGAGAGAGCGAGGGGGAGCAAGGAGCATGGAGCTGCATACTGATGAGTGTAGGAGTACTTGATAAAAAAGAATTCTGGCTGCCGGCCGTGCATTGCTCATTGTGGAGTACTCCAACAATCACATAGAACGCAGACCAGCCCAAGCTGACAGCTTGATATGCCTTCTTCTGCTGCCTGGTTTTGGGGGCTGTATGACGTACTGGTCGGTAGTAAAGATTAATATGTAAGAAATGTGGAGCTAGGATCAAGTCATACTCCACAGCCTGCCTGGCAAACTATGTTCTACTTCTGACTTTGCTCTCTCGCTGAGAACATTAATCTGTCAAGCTGGCGGGCTCCTTTGATAGCAACTTTCCCAGGGGCATGATGTGGCAATGCCACCTCTCAGCCCAGGACTACCGCTATTACCCCGTGGACGGCTACTCCCTGCTTAAACGCTTCCCTCTTCATCCTCTTACAGGACCCAGATGCCCTGTCCAAACAGTGGGACAATGGTTGGAAAGCATTGGGCTACCTCAGTACGAGAACCACCTGATGGCTAATGGATTTGACAATGTGCAGTTTATGGTAAGACGCTCTCTGTGTCCACGGAGCTGCCTTTTGTCTGTCTTTGCTTCTTATGTGTCTTACATGGCTCAGAGGCAGCCTGATTTGCACCAAAATCGGTCAGATTTATATATGTAACTGCATCGGAAGATTGGATGCCCTTAGGACTGAACTTACTGGGTACATATAGACTCTTGATAAAAAATGAGATCTATATGTATCCATATACATATGTGTTATATGAATGAACTGGTGAGAGTGCTATTTATAGGCAGTAAAAGAAGATTAATATTGATATTCTCCCTGTCATTCTTTGTATGTTTATTTTATAAATTTGTAATCTTAGAATACTCAGATTATATTACTCTTCAGCTAATTTTTGATTCTTACATTATTTCACTTGAGCACCAGCATTTAGTGGTTAATGAGACAATTTGTCATGTTTACGGTGTGAAGATCGTTTCTTTTCCTGATAATTGTTCAATAAGCAGTTTAAATCATGTGGACAACCTTCAGTTCATTAGCAAACTGCTTCAGATGGTCAGTTATGGAGAGTGTTCACTTCCACATGCTGATTGAAGAGTGATGAAGTATTGTTTATTACTTTAGGTGGAAGATAAACACTTTGGTCAGTTAGCTGTCAATATTTAGAAAGAGGTTTGTAGACTAAGTATAGTCTTGTACTTCTGAATACTGGTCTACATGCAGTCTGAACCTGGCATTTGCTAACTTTCCACCGTTTTGCATATAGGTGAGGAAGGAGGATGGGGAACTGTGCAGACCGAAAATTCAGCTTTCTAATCATTTCCATACCTCCCCCAGTGCTCATCAGTTCCCCTTGTTAAGCTACGTCACAGCTTTATTACCTTTCCTTGCTTTTAAGTACCCATCACACATGTCAGTGATCCCTAAATTTAGAGACCTACATAACGCAGGCATGCAGCACACAAATGACTTGTGGAAATAAGTAACAGCCCTTCCTAAATAAAATAATAGGGCTGACACCTGCAGCTTATTAGTACCAGAAACGATAACACAACAGTGAGAGCTGGTTAGATTATTTATTTCTATCTCAGATTATTTTTCTCTGAGGTTGACTTGAGTATTATAGATTTGAAGATTATTAACATTATTCAACTTCTCCTTCTCCAAAAGTATGTATGCCCACGAGTTTTTAAAAATAAAAGAGACATAAATATAGGAAGATATACGAGCTCTAAGTAACTGTATGTACAGAATGCTTTATGAGTGATTTGCTGGGTTTTTTATACTGAAATATGCAGCTACTGTTATTTTTCTTGTGTTTTCTTTAGTTTAGATCCTTCTGTGTCCTTAAGTACTGTCACTGGTTATATAGACAAGATATTGTGGGTATTGAAATGAAAAAAAATGGAAGTTCTTCAATTGCTATTAAAGTCTTAGAACACTGAGCAGATTTAGGACAGACTTAGCACATTAAATAGATGGCATTAAGAATTAAAGAATCAAACAGAATTGAAGTCTTTTCATTGTTATTTGTGTTTACTATATATTTAAATATCTTAATTCTTTCTCCCTATGTCTACTTGAAATAAGGGTTTCTCATTCTCGCCCCGAAACCCTTGTCCAAATTTATTCTGGTCCCATGAGAAGTTAGGTCTTTGGATTTCCTGGATCATTTGGCCACTCTGCAAGACTTTAATTCAGCTTATTTTTCCTCTGAATGTTAAACACGTATGAGCAAATATAATACCTTTTTGAAAGCCTCAACTGAAAGGTTAATCAAACAGTTTTCAAATAAGCATTTGAAGAGTGATCGTAAAAATTATTCGTGAATGAATCATGTAAAAGCACTGCAAAATTTATCTGGAAGGCAAAATTCTGGACATATGTGATATAACCAAGATCTAATCATAGAATATATTCTTTACTTGCCTAATTTGAAATATTCTGTAAAATTTTCTAGAAAATGATATTAATTTAGATGGGCCAATCAAATACTTTATTCATGAGACAGAATTATCTTTTTAGAAAAACTTTGAATTGCCATTTAGAGGAGTTAATTAATTATGAAAATGAAGCAAATCATGAAGTGGTATCATCAATTAGTGCTTTATATGCTGTTATACACCATTTATTTGCTGCTAGAATCATAGTGATTAATTTCTACCTTTATAAAAATTATTTATTGATCTACATAATCTAATTTATGTGATTACAAACTTAGTTAAATACATGAATATGATTGACTCTCTGTAAGAAACATATTTCTTTAATGTGATGAAAAATCCATTATACTTGCTTAGTCTCCACTCAGTATCATATTCTGGCTTTTGTTTTTCTTGAAGCACATTCTGACCTGCATTTATTCCTCCTGTTGCCTAAGCAACAAGCACCACACTCCTATTAACTATGATGTAGTGCAGGTCTTATTAGCTTTTTTGAACAAGACAGTAGAAATCAAAAGGATGTAATTAATGTTTGTTGAAACATCATAGTGCATCCATGCATAGATGTACTTTATTTAGGAAACATTTTCAGGAGTTAATTTTTTATTCAATCAAGAATCCATTAATGAATGTGAACTTAAAGTGTTCATATAAGTAACTTAAAGTAGTTATTGAAAGCTTTAAAAATTATTTGCTAAATCTGTTCTACATACATACTTCCACATGTAAACACAATATGTGGATGATTTATTGCCATGGCTATAATTATCTTTAATAAAGACTATTATCACCAATGTCTAAGACCCCAATTGTTTTTTGTTTTTTGGGGTTTTTTGAGATCAAGTCTTACTCTGTTACCCAGGTTAGAGTGCAGTGGCGTGATCTTGGCTCACTGCAGCCTCCATCTTTCTAGTTCAAGCGATTCTCTTGCCTCAGGCCCCCGAGTAGCGGGATTACAGGTGTGCATCACCACACCCAGCTAATTTTTGTATTTTTAGTAGAGATGAGGTTTCACCATGTCAGCCAGGTTGGTCTAGAACTCCTGACCTCAAACTATCCACCCACCTTGACCTCCCAAAGTACTGGGATTATAGGCGTGAGCTACCCATGCCTCCCCCTACAATTGTTTTTAAATATTTGTCACTTATTGCTCCTCCTTCAGGCTAATATTTATTCTTAATTTTACATATGTTTGAATTTTTTCTACATATCTTAAGGTTCAAATTTTAAACTTTTCCTTTATGTATTTCATTTTGGTTTGTAGAATAGTTGTGCACACAGTTTAGATCCTTCTGTGTCCTTAAAAATGTAAAATAAGTAGAAACTGGTATAATCAAAGAACAGTTAGAAAGGCACATCAGGTTACCTGAGACTTTAGGAAAGTCACATCTATGTTTAAACCAAGAGCCCTTCACAACAGAATCTTTTGTCTTAAAATCTGCCGAGATCCCACCCTTCCTGTTTATCCACTCAAATGTCGTCACCTCCCTCCTGCTTGGCAAAGCCTAGCTGATACTCACTGTTGGGAATGCTGCCATGCCCTCTGACATTTCACTCACCTCCCCTGAATTTGCAACATATAGAATGTGTTTAAGTTTCCACATTTTTTTTCCACCAAGAAGTTTAGGTATGGAGTGATTACTGTACAAAAATGCACATGCTTATTTACTTCCTCATTATATTTGTCTCTATCATCATATGTGTTTTTCATAGTCTAATGACTGCTTCCTAAATTTTAAATTCCAAATGATCTATTCTTATCTTAATAACTTTGCTCTTCTGTACTCTCTACCCACTTCTCCTGGACAGACATTTCCTTTCCTTCCCCTCTGTCTTTTATCCTCAGGGTATAACTCAATTCCTGCCTAGTTCAGGTAGCTTTCCTTAATGACTGCAGTCCAGAACAGCCTCTTTTTTCCTGAACTCACGCAGTAGTTATGTTTGATATGAAAAAAATATATTTGGCATGCCATTATTCTCTCTCTAGAAATAGGAGTTAAGTTTTCACTTGTATGTATCTTGTCTTCCCAATTAGACTGGAAGCTTCTCAAGTCCAAGTTCTGTGTATTCAGTTTCCTTGCCTTCCTCACAACTCCCAGCATAATGCTGTGTGCATAGAAATCAGCCTGTAAAAACTGAAAGCACAACAGATTGTTGTAGGTGGACCTCCAGTCTCATTTTAAAACTGGAAGCCTTATTCTGCCAATGGGAACATGGAACATTAGTACCTTTACTCATTCATGCAACAGACACTCCTTAGACATCATTTATGTGCTAGGGACAGTGTTAAGTGCTAAGGATGTAACAATGAATAAGACATGATCCTTACCCTCAGGGAGAGTACAGTATTTCCCTCAGACCTGTATTGGTTTGAGTTGCATGCACATCACACACATACACGTTTCTTCATGCACACATAGGTGCACACACACCTCACCACAGGGATCTTGCCCCTCATTCTTCACATAATCACCATCACTTAGCATGTGAATTTACTAGCAATTGGTTTGTCAGCAACAAATTGCAGTAGATAATAGAAGAGGTAAAGTCTATCATAGCATGAAATAAAGGAAGATGAAGATACTGATGACATCAAAACATTGGCAGTGTTATGGTAGATTCATAGTCTGAAGACTGTATTAAGGAGTTTATATTACTTGGAGGAGGACTGAATCATAACCTCACCGTGATAACTATCTGACAGTTATATTTGTAAACTCTAATCAAAATGGGGAAGAATGAAATATTATTACCAACTCATTTTTTAAAGCATCTCCTGTGTTTCTAGCAATTGCCATCTAGGTTGACTTGGAATGCTTTGACCCTTATTAAAATGTTAAAATGCAGCCTTTACAGAATAAGAAGTAACAGTAATACTGATAGCCCTACATGAATTGGCATTTCCATACACTTCCGTACAGCAAGCATTCATAAAGGACTTGCTGAAGGTCAAAGTGAGTAGTGCCTATTAGACACTGAAGTGGAGCCACAGAGCTCTTGGTGTCATCCATTTGAGCAAAATATTTGCACAAGGTAGAGCTTATACATATTTAATTAAAACTTTTTTCCTATTGCTGTGGTGCAATTTACACA